TAAGGCTGTAAACATTGCAATTTGACAATCAAGGCAGTGACGATCTTGGCATTCGAGTTAGTAAAAGCTAAAAATGAAGATTAACTCATCGATTTACACAATTTTAATGGACCACTAGACAAGGTACGAATTTCAGCATTCTGATACATGTTTCTTAACCAAAATTTCACGTATAATACGACGCGCACAACGAAAATTACCGAAATCAACTCCTTCCAAAGATATTTAATGATTCTTGATGCGTGAATTCAAACCACCCGCTCAAGAAAACTCAATGCTCTGCGTGATTCACATCGTGGGCTAAACGTTATCATGATAGTCTCTGCGATATAAAAATCTGGCAACCACAATCTTGACGCTCTGGCTCAGCTGTAGCAAATTGCTTATAGTTTGAACAACACATGGTGGAAAATGAACATTACTCGATTGAGAAGCTTGTTGAAACCGTTGTAGTGCGCGACTTGACTCACGTAGAGCTTTGAGTTTCTTGTCAGCGGGCAGTTCAAATTCCTCGTAACCAATGTGAAATAAAAACATTAATATCTTCGTTTGGAGTTAGTCTTTTTAGTTTTCGTTACGCAAATCGTGCTCTACGTGAAATTCTGGTTAAGAAACATGTATCAGAATGCTTAAATTCGTACCTTGTCTAGTGGTCCATTGTTAAAATTCCTTAAGAATACCTATTTGCCATTATGATAGGTATGATGTGAGATTTTTGATTACACATTTTAAAACTAAAACGTCCATGACTGAAATTGGACACTTTCGCAGAATTGCCCAAGTTAGCGCCACTGTATGAATTATTCACGTGTTGCGCTTTTTGATCTTTGAAAATCTGTAATGTTTTTGTGCCGGATCCACCGCGACTTCACCATTTCCGATCTGTGTGTACCTCGAGCCTGCAATTCCAGGATGGAGGAATTGTAAAGATACTGCACCCCTGAATGGTATATTAGTCTATTGAGTCATTCATGCCGAACTTGTCCGTCTTTTTCTGATCGCCTATCGTCAAAACGAGAACCTCTCTATAGCGAGGAAATCAACCGGTCCCTTAAAGTCTCGTTATAAAGAGAGATTACCGTGTTGTTATTTTCTTCCCCTTAATAATCTCACCCATCAGTAATGCACGAAAAACAATCAGATAATGCAAATGTGAATGTGTGAATTACTGTTGTATGCGTTCAGCCGTGTATGTAAATCATCAGTGCTTTGACGCAAAAAGAGATATCGTCGACCTATTCCCCTTTTAAGCGTTCTCCACGCTATGCGTAGCGGACGCTCTTTCCGGAGTCTTTTCCGATTCTGGACTTAACATTGTACCATGCTATAATGGTAAGACCCTGATTTGCTTTATGGGTGGATCCACCATATTACGCAGCAAGAAGCTATTCTATTTTTCTCAATTTTTGTTTGTTAATATTGCATAAACGTTTTTTCTTTGCTATGTAGCATTAAATGCAATCATGGTAAGCTTATCTTTGACGTATTTCATTCTTTTTTCGACGAACTGTTCAACTTATTAACGTTTTTAGGTCAAATTTCAGTTATTTTCCAAAAAAGTTACTCAAAGCTTGCTGTAGACGAAGTAACCATTCAACCCTATACATTACTCCATGATAGAATGTCATTTTAAAACATGCAGCTAATATTATTAGCTCTCAGTTAAGTATGTATCTTTCAGTGATTCATTCCATTTTGTACTGTCGACTGGTAATGATGTTGCCATATCTTAAATAATAATTCAATTATTTCCTAACAATAATACATAAAAATGTTCGTTTGGTGAACGTCCTCCAACACCCGTATGTTGGAGCCAACCCTTTGTTTTATGACACCTCCCCCCCCCCTTGTTTGTAGCACGTTCTTTTGAAAGATATCCAAACCAATTAACCCGTATTGTCTCAATTCTAGACTGGTTTAATTTTTCAATTGATAATTCGTATCTGCAACTATCATGTGTTTCCGATTTTTAAACAAATTAAATTTGTTTCGAATGAAAGGGCTAAATAGATTTTCAACTTCATCTTTTTAAATTATGATTCATTACTCACACGCACATCGCATATACAGTGGCGAGGCGTGTTTGATCGACTATCAATATTTCCCCATATGAAGCTTTAGTAAAAATCGCGTATTAAGGTGTTCTTTGCGAACACCGTTTGTCGCGATCATTTTCAATGGGTTTAAATAGTAGATCGATCGATACATCGCAAAGCACGCCACGCCACAGGCATACACACTAATATTTCAGATGAGGGGGAAAAAAATAAAAGCCACGATTTTATCTGATCTATTTTTTCATGTACAACTAATGGACCTTTAGGCAAGGTTTGCATTGAGGCACTACGCAATATGATTTCTCTTTAAAATGTTAAGAGGAAAACAGATTACAAGATGAGAAGTCTGGATATGCATTCCTAAACCAGATATGAATGTTTACAGTTATCATTGATTAGATGACAAACATACAAACAAAGTCATTGGTATAATTTAACTTTCATTTGAATTCTGTTGAGAATACTTGTACCTCGTTCAAGAGTTGATTTCCAAACATACGATTGTGTGAATCGTTATCTGCGTATAAGATTTTGAGGGGAAAACATGTGGCTTTTTCTAGTTCAGACCTTGTTTAGTAGCCCATTATTGCTTTTTTTCTTCTTTTTTTTCCTCACAAGTTTGTAAAGTGCCGTCCTTAATTATCAAATTAATCTCGTAGGTCCCCTCGTGTGAAACCTCCCATCCCCCGCACCCCCTTTAAACGCTATGCGGTGCACTGCACGTCGGGTGGCGTTATTAAAACTAATTGAATTCTGCTGCGACACCGCACCGCCCTTTCTCGCCCCGCCGCGCCGCATGCCACCGACCCGCGATAAAATCAATCAAATTTTTTCGTTTTTCAGATTTCCCTCCGTGACTTCCTTTTCTCGTCCTACATTCCTAAAGTCCTCGAAGATCCTTTCAATACTCATCCGGACCCGACCGTATATGTTACGCTATTGATTAAAGCAAGGCTTCAAACCGTGCGTCAACAAGATCAAATTTCCATCAAACATGGAGTCACTGCGCGTTGAACGATGAGTGATGGGCTTTTATTGAATTTCTCACCCTCGTTTGTGTAAACATCGTTTTAATGGTTGCTGCTGGTGCATTAAAACTGGTTCAGTGAAATCTTCGAAAAAACAAAATGCGGAAAAGGGAACGATAGAAGCTGCACTGGAAAAAAAAGTCTTGGGTTCAAAGTCACTTTTGAAAAATTTGACAAAATTCTTTCAAATCTAATGCTGTAAAATCGTTCCTAATCCCGCCAAACATGGTGCAGCCGCCGGATGGCGCCAAAAGCATATTAGCGCCCACAGAAGTGCAGGAATACTTCATGCATATCGCTAAACACAGTACGGTCGTCGGTCGGCGGCAAGAGCATATTAGTGCCTACAAGAGTGCAGGAATACTTCACGCATTGCGCCAAGTACAACGCGGTCGCTGGCCGGCGGAAAGAGCAGAATAGTGCCCATAAGAGTGCCGGAATACTTCACGCATTGCGCGAAACACAGTGCGGTCACTGGTCGGCGCGAAAAGCATACCAGCAATTCTCTTGATTCAATCGGATTTTTGCTTGAATCGGGGGCTAAGCCTCTTCATTTAAGCGGATTTCCTATAGATTCAACCGAAAATCCTATTGAATTAAGAGAGCTTTTTCTTGTCAAATTTCAGAGTCCGGACTCTGGATCCAAAGGACTTATTTCAGTGTGAGAAGGAAAGAAAATTCAAAGCAGAGATTTACAAACGGACATGTTCCGAGGTTTATGCATGACCTAAGAATATTCAGATCATTTACTCGCATACTGATAGCAAAACTATAAAATCCGTTTCTTTCTCGGAATGTTTCGAAAAAATCAACTACCCTTATTTAATATTTATACAATGACTCCTCAGGGTTTCGTTGCTTTCGATCTGCTTATAGAGTAAGAGGAAAACTTTTTGAAGATCAGAGCGCACAAAGTTTAAATCCCCCCCTCGCACTCCGAACTTTTTTCCGTGAAAGAGGCAACCCGTCCCCTGGCGAGGTAAAGACAACAGAAAGAAACCAGCACGTAAAAAACCACTACTGTGAGCCACCGGGATGGGTAAAACAGCAATTTATTGAGTTTCGGCAAATGGTGATATTGCAGAGAAGGTGAAAAAATATAAAATACAATTTTTTCTAAGATGGCGAGGAGAAAAATTGCGATTTTCGCAAAACCAGTTCTAACACCCCTTGCGCACTGAACCGATTGAACTGCACAGTTAACAGGAATCGAGGCCCGTGCGTTGGGTTGATTCCAAACCAAAGCTGAGATTAAAACGTTCGAGGGGGTCTGTCAAGAGACTCCTAGAGGCCCGTCATAAAACGCAAATTTGTGAAATACTCGTAATGAGGAGCAACTCATTATTTCACAAGTTCATGAACAACGCCACGCTGAAACTGGGAATTTTGGACCCCTCCGCGCAGATCTACAACCCCTTTCGACTGACTTTACATTTTATTAGAGTCTCCCTTTTACGGAAACAATCTGCATTTATGAATGCTGTTCTTATCCAAACTATTGAAGGATTTCCAGAAAATTTTGAATGCGTGCCAATTTTCGTAGGTCTGACGTCACGCAGGGACGTGCACTTCCTTCTTCCTCCGTTACAGGCTCAAAAACCTGCCCCAATTATGAGCGGTCTCGAAAACACAATACAACCTCACAAAGACTTATTTTGTTGGGCCGACACAGAACAGAAACCAAAAGGACCCCCCCCCTTCCCCCCACCTACTCATACTTCCAGAAGACTGGTAATTCGATTCATCCTTCCTCTTAATAAGGTCCGGACATTCAGTTTCTGAAATAATCATTAAAATCGTTAAATGGTCCATAGAATAATCTTTAGGACGCGTTAAAGTGAAAATTAGAGAGTACAAAATAAATTGGGCTGGAGATGATCAGCGAATTCATGATTATTAATCCAATTGCTCTTACCTTTTTTCCGTCTAGTTCATGTATTGCTTGTGATAATACTTTTTCAACACTACTCGCTTCGGCAAACGTAACAAAACCGAAACCCCTGTGAACAGACAAAAAGTTGTTAAGAAGCGAAGAATTGTCCTATTTAGGGCTAAAACGTAATGGTGATGACACCACTATTCATGCTCGACCAAGAGCACGCCCCTCCTCTCCGTTTTGCTAACGGATTCTATCTTGCCGGTATTTATTTTTAGCGTAAGATATTGATTTCTCCGGCAACTAATTAAAGCGTACAAGACAGTATAAAACTCTAAAATAAACAATTTTACTGATTCAATCCTGAACCTGGTCCTACTCCTAGATGACATCTGCTATGCCCAAGTTGATTTGAACAATTGATGACCCTGAGGAACGCGTCATTTATCGCCTGAATTTTGATTTCCAGTGGTCCAGTCGATTTTTGCAATTGATGCGGAAATATTGTGCATCTGATCGCCGATTCAAATTCTGCACGAAATTGCGATGCGACTTGATCTGCACGGATTTCAATTGCAAAGGCGTGGCGTGTTTTGCGATACATCGATTGATCTTTCATTTTAAAACTATGGAAAAGGATCGATAAACAGGGTGTTCCGCAATGAACACCCTGATAATCGATACTTTATCGTAGCTTCAATTGGCGGAAACATCGATAGTCAATTGAAAATATTTTCATGTGACGTCATAAATGACATGCATGTAAAATTGAGATATCAGCGTAGTGCGTGGGCAAAATCTCATCAGAATTTTGAGCAGAGTCCGAATCTTAAATCGGAAAGCGACAAGTTTCCGCCGTTCTCCAAGTGGTAAACATTTCATCAGGCTTTCAGACCCGAGCGGAAAGATAACTTTACAACTAGTAAGTAAAATTTAAGTAAGTAAAGTAACTTTCAATCTCTCTTCGATCGTCTCTTTTTTCAATCCATATGGGAGGACTTTAAATTCGGGTAAGAAATGGCATGGCGTCGCCCATTGTCCGCATCAACGTGGCAGTGACGGGTATCATTCTAGGCTTTGGGCTTTACTAGGCTTAGCACGGTTGCTATTTACAGATTTTAATCTCGAATTCTACGCTCTAATTAGTTGGTGGGGAGTATAAGAGTGGTCATCACTTTTCCCCTTGAAAGCACTTTCCGATTTGACCTTTAGATATGAACTTGCGCAACCACACCCACTCGTCGGCAGGTAGAATTGAGGTGAAGCCACGTTCATCGTCCCCGACTAACGTCATCTATACTCTTGGACGATTTTTTTCGTAGAAATTATCACTTTTTGGCCTGTTTAAAAGCAATTCTTGCTTAAAAATTAACGATTCCTTCGCTTTTTTGTAACAAACTTGACCTGTTTGAGAGGGTCTACGAATTGAAGAAGGAAACCTACTTCAAACCAATGCTCACCCTGTTCTCTCATCCCACCGTTCTAGTCATTCCAGTCGATAAAAATCCATTATTGATGAAATAATGGTAGTCACTGGCCTTTTTATCAATATTCCCGGCTTGAGAAATAAATTAGATTAATGATGGAACTGGCAAATGATAAGATAAATGACATGTAAATTTTGCAAGTGTGATACTGACTCCGACGAAATTTTCCTTGCAAAATATAAGTTTGTATAAAATCCAAACCTAATTTAGACCTAGAGAGCGGTTCCAAATTCGAAAGACGGACCAGTTCAGAATTATTTAAGGTTGTTTTACGGCCAAAATTAATTGAGTCAACATATCTTGACTGGTGCTTGAAACTCACAAAATGTTTTAAGTTAAATAGTCGATGTACGAGGTGCCCAATAAAAATCATCCGCGACCATAATACCCGCCGTAAAATTTCAAACGAACAATTTGTCCTACTAAGAAGTGGTTAAGGAGTGTCCATGAGGAGACATTTCTTCTCGGTCCCAGTTTGATCCACGGATACGATTTTTTTGGATGGAGTTCTTTACATCAAAGTTATGAGGACCGATAAGGCTGGTTTATCCGAGATGATAATTCCTGTTCTCAGAACGGGGTACGACCGTTGTACGTGTGACATAGTACTTCAACATCATAATTGCCTTGCGAGTGTTTTTTCTAGTTCTGCTACCTGACGTGGCGCTTTTAAATAACGTTATGGGAACCAAATGGGACTACGTGAAGGAGAAGGGGTTGGACTCATTTTCACGAATCAGTGAAACTTCAATCAATGGCTGCCAGAAGAGTAACGTGCTCATATTGAGATGGATTGGTTTCCTAATACGAATGTAATACAAATCTCAAAATTGGCTCTTTCAATTGAATTGACATTGAAAAATTTACCACTAAATTCCTTTAATAATTCATGCTATATTTATTAAATTTGATGTACTTTTATAAGATTGATTTGAGTGCCCAAAGTAGCACGAATATAAGTTTTCGAAAATGGTCAACCGTGTGCGAAATCCCAATGGATCCTGATGCTAATTTTCGTCGAAATATAATGTGGGAGCTTTCGTCATCAGGTGTTCGTCTTTTCGTGAAGTCCTGAAGAGGGTTCATTTTCCAGATCTCGAATCATCCTCCACAATATCTCATGCTTCTTTCTTTTCTCCGCGGGGGAGGGTGATTTCATTTTTGTGGGCTCTGCGATAGTTTAGTGTAACCGTGTACTGAGTATGATAAAAACACGACGTAGCAGCCTAGTTCAACGATAAAATGCAAGAATAATACACTTTAAATGTGAAATTAGCAAGGCTAAAAAGTAGAAAAGAAACAAAGCCAAGACATTTCGGACCAGTTACATGCCCATTTGCCCATCCTCAGGGTGGCAAAATTTCATGTGAAAGATTTCATGAAATTTCAGAAATTTATGGAAGATATTGAAAAATACCGGTTCTTTTTCATTTTTTGCAAAATGAAAAAATTGTGACTTTTTTCTATTTTTGTGTGTTTTAGTGCGGGTTGCATACTCTAGCCCCTGAAAAATATGAACAGCCTCGTGTTTTATGGAATATTTCATTGAAATTTCCAATCTTTCGTCTCCTGCTTACGTTTCATGCCACCCTGCCCATACTCGACTAAAACAAACCTAAAATATAATAATAAAACACAAAAATGGGCATGCAACTGATCGAGGTGGGGATCAGCGAAAAATGGAAAACAGGGAAACAGATAGATAGAGAGGCTCTAGCTCATCATTGAAGATAGGGCAACCTCTGAACCAACCAACAAAAAATAAGCTATGAAAGCTTTTCCCTGTTACAGGAGGAAAGGTGATAGCAAACTCTTGATCGATCTGTATCAGCTCGAAAGTTGCATAGCTTCCCTCAATTCTTGGCGGCAGGTAACATTCAAAATAGTCTCGAGACCCATCAGTCAAAATTTTGGGCAAATCAAAGTCTAAACGAAGCCCCAATTCATCCTCATCTTAATATAAAGGCGTATTTTCCTATCCGTTGTGCATGTGACGGTGCAGCCATCTCCACGAAATACGCCCGATTTGCCCTACATATCCTACATCCCGATCTTTACGATTAATTTTGAGCTGGGGCGATAAAAACTTGAGATTGACTATAAAACATGTCCCTTCGAGTTCACCGCTACCCCTGAAATCGCCTTTTTTTACACCTCAATTTTTCATAAGGTAATATTCAAATTGTCTTGATTTATTCAACACGTGATTAAAATTTTATTTCGGCGTGATAAAATGAGACCCCGTAGACACTTTGTGAGAAATATCCCTCCATCAAAGCTGATACATGTTGATTAGCAGGTGTTTCCGATCGAGAGTTTTCAAATACTAAAAGAAATCTCATATCGAGGGCTATCGAACAAGACCGCCCAACTGATAATTACGGCAAAACAGAGTTAGCCACTTCGCCGTATTTTACAGTATAAAATACGCATTTTAGTTTTTGTTTCAAATTCTGTAGGGGAGCGCTTCAATGATGCTGTAATTATGGAAAAATTGCAAATCTAACCTTAAAATTACGAAACTGGCGAATTATCTCTTCGTTCGGCAAAATCGCCAGTCTGCAGATAGGTGGTAATGTTCGTTAGCCATCGATATGCGCTTTGGGAGATATTCATCAATTCAAGTTCTTGAACTGAGATTTCGCGCGCTTTCACGGAGGACCAAACCGTTGCGCGGCGTTACCTATCTTACTCTTATACCCTTTCTTACCCTTCTAGTCCACACCGACGCCTTTTCACTACCCCGCCACTGATACATTTGCTCCTCTATTTCCCTGCCCCAACTCCGGCGCTTGCTGAGCTGTCTCTTCCTGTGGCGTGGCGCGCTTTGCGGTATGCCGTTTCATGTGCCGTTTAAACCTATAGACAAGGATCGTAAACAGGATTGATTCTTTACCACAGCTTCGAATGCGGAGATATAGATACTCGATTATTCACGTCTCGCCACTGGTCTGTGTGTTCATTAATTACATAACGCCATTTTCCGGCATTTTTGACCCCCCCCCCCTTAGGACGCTCCGTAATGCAACCCTAGTCCCATTAAGATCCAAAAATTTTATGAAACTGTTGAATCAATAACTGGATACAATTTAAAGTATTTTTAATGACTGTGTGTGACAAATTACATCGCAGAAATGAGGACGATACAGTTTGGATTTTGAGTGCTTTTTACAAATGGCGAGGGTTCTTCACGCTGAATCGTCATCCCCCCCGCCCCCCTATCACTTGCAGTGCATGATAACGCAGAGTCATAACACCCCCCCACCCCCGAGCCCCTTCGGTAGGAATCTAAACATGCTTTTCCAAAAACTCTTTGCACAAGCTTAAAATACTGAAAACAAAAGGGTACACGGACTTAATGTCCACTTTTTTTACGTCCACAATTTTTACATCCACAGTTCTAAAGCCCACACTATTGTTAAGACCATTATATAAACGTCCAAGTTAAGTCCACAAATGTAAAGTCCACTAAAATCAAATTCAAGCGTCATATTTTAGTCCGTAAGTAAAATTATATTGACAATATCGAAATGAGAAAATTAAGAGAGAATGAGGTGTTGTTATCGTAACTCATATTTTAAATGAAATGTTAATTTCTTCTTTTGATTCATCTGTTCAAATAAATTGTCTTTGGTCA